CAAAACATCAGAACATCACTACACAAAACATCACTACTCAAAACAGTAGAACATCACTTTACAAAACACATCAGAACATCACTACACAAAACATCAGAACATCACTTTACAAAACACATGAGAACATCACTTTACATAACATCAGAACATCACTTTACAAAACACATCAGAACATCACTGCACAAACACATCAGAACATCAGTTACCTTTAAACACAACAACCAACAGAGATTATGGACAAAGTAAAAATGTGTAAAAGGACAATCTAGAATAACACTACTAAAGTCAAAAAGGTCACATTAAAAAACACACCGAAATTAGTGTGAAATAAGAATATATTCAACATCACACATATTATATAAAAGAGCCTTATGAAATGGAATTCTTTTAAAATCAAAAATTGAGAACAAAATTTGTAATTATATACAATAATAAAAAAAAGACAAGTGGATTTTTTTTGGGCAAAGTTACACTTTTTGACCTTAAGCTGGCGAAATGAAACTGTGCCATAGTTAACATTAACACGTTTGTTTTTTTCTAATCAAGATTACAAGCCAAAGCACTAGCTACATAACATACAAAACAAGAAGATAATGTCTTATTTATTGTCACGGTTACAGTACATATAGAGCTGAGACAAACATTAGGACAAATAGACAAACATTGGGACAAATAGACAAACATTGGGACAAATAGACAAACATTGGGACAAATAGACAAACAATGGGACAAATAGACAAACATTAGGACAAATAGACAAACATTGGGACAAATAGACAAACATTGGGACAAATAGACAAACATTGGGACAAATAGACACATATTGGGACACAGACATACATTGGGACAAATAGACAAACATTGAGACAAATAGACAAACATTGGGACAAATAGACAAACATTGGGACAAATAGACAACCATTGGGACACAGACATACATTGGGACAAATAGACAAACATTGAGACAAAGAGACAAACATTGGGACAAATAGACATATATTGGGACAAATAAACATACATTGGGACAAATAGACAAACATCGGGACAAATAGACAAACACTTGGACAAATAGACTTGATACAAACATTGGACAAATAGATTTGATACACACGTTAGGCCAAATTGAGTGAATGAATGGCAAGATTGTCTAAATCATTCTGTTGTATCCTTGATGCACCTGACGTGACTTTTGCAACTAGTCACTTCATTAGCAGGGGAACTAATTAGTCGATTCCAGTTCCATCAGCTGTTGTCTACGCTGATGATGATGTTGAGATGTGTCTGTAGGTCGAGGCGAATGTAGTCAGGGGCGATATAACAATAGGGTGGGGGAGGGGTTGAGGGCGGTAGTTCAAATGTTCATAATTTATCAGTCAATTTTGCAAAATAAGTATAGAGATGCAGGGGTGTAGCGAGGGGGGTGCGGGGGGGGGGGTGACACCAAGGCAAAAAATAGCAAAATATATAGAGAAAAATTATAATTCCACATAATTAAGTGATTAATTCGAGTGCTAAATAGTCTTTTAAGAGGTGCAAAACGAAAGTTTGAGGGGGGGGGGGATGCAAATCGAAAATTTGAAAGTTTGTTCCTGGCAAGGGTCGCTACGCCTCTGGGGGGTGACACCATTACGTGCCGCACCGGGTGACACCCGACCTCGCTACGCCACTGTAGAGATGGTATAATTCAAAAGCGATATGTTTACCCCATAGCCTTTAAGGATAATATAAATCTCGTGTTTATGTTCAAATTTTGGGTTGAAGCTTAATCACAGCATAATTACAATCAGTATTCCTATTATAATTTCTTTCTCCGAGAGGAGGGTGGGTTGGAATTCTAAGAGTGCATATTTTTAAAATAAATTCTATTTCGTGAGGGAGGGAGGGGGGGGGGGGGGCGATAGACGTGCTACAAGTGGGTAGGTCGTCTACCCCCCCCCCCTTTTTCCCCAAGAGATGCTCGAAAGAAACACGATTTACAGTTGTAGATAATAGAGATACAAACAAATGCTTATTTAAAAAATACAATGGCTCGGCATCATTAAAACATTGCGAAACTATTGGATATATTTGGAGAAAATGCGAAACTATTGGATATATTTGGAGAAAAAGCAAAACTATGGGATATATTTGTAGAAAAAGCAAAACTGTAAGTTTTTGGTGAAAAGGCAATAGAAATGCAAATCATGGAAAGGAAACAGCGCAGCATTGGTCACAAATCCAGAGAGGGACAAAAGAAAAGATGACGACGCAGCGTGCTGGAAGAGGCGTCTGGAAAGTTTTGTTAAAAGTGGCAGGAGACTGTGGTGAGTCGAGGTATTTACATAAAGGAAACATAAAGGAATAATAATACAGATCAATATTTGGTATAGCTTTTCAACATGAATTCAATATTCTTTTGAAAATTGCTAAACCCCTAGGAAAAACAAACTTCGAATAATTACCACATAGGCCTAATTATTAACAGTTTCTTCAAGGTATTTCTTCGGGGGGGGGGGGGGGGGGGAAGGGGAGGGGGAGTCTACCGCCCCCGAACGAAGTGGAATTTATATAGAGAACTTATACTTTTACCAGTGTCCCCCCCCCCTCCCCGAAAAAATGTTGTCCGCCCCCCCCCCCTCTCGAAAATTTCAAATCCCCCCCTCTCTTCTCGGAGAAAGGAGTCTGGAAGAAACACTGATTATTAATTTCCGCCTTTGGGTTATAGTTTCACTTGAATTAAAAACGTGTTTTATCTTAAATCACCACATACAATTATTTAAAAATTAAAACTTGTTGCATTACAAACGTATGTTATTGTATGTAGGTGAACGCTGTATGTTGTATGTAAATTCGGTCATGTCGAATTGTGATTAGAATACGAAACCAAGCAATTAAAATGACATTGCGAATTTGATGATGTCACATTCTCAGGACTTTTCGTGTTACCTAGTTACATAATAAGGTCGTGGAATACTGGATTACAGATTACAGATTACAGATTAGCTTGATATGTAAGCGTAAGCGTAAATAGACCTATGTATTTGTTAAATGAAGGCCGATGTTACTGGTGAAGACTGTGTACACTTGGACAAAAACTCAAAAGAAACGGAACAAAATACTGCACTCGTTACAGTGTAAAGTTTTAAATGTGTTTTTGTAAAAGTAAAAATTTGAGACGATAAGATCGTAGGACGTATTGTACAAGTGTAGACATTTTTATATTGCCTTTCACATACCTACTGAGAGAAAAGGTAAATTAATATTGTACGCATTTTACTAAACTAAAATAGAAATAATTAATATTATTTTTAACGATTGTTTTTTATTTAATGAGTTCAATGAGAAATCTGTTAGTCCGGAGTGACGTAATATATTTGTTTTTTAACGGTTAATTGAAGTTCTGAATTATTTGTAATATTAGAAAGGGGTCGTCCATAAATGACGTCATCCTCGAGGGGAAGGGGGATCCGTAATTTTGTGATGGTGTGTGATAAGGGGCAGGGAGGGGGGTTCAGATTGTGCGACGTCACACTTTTGCTTTATAAAAAAGCAATGTTAGAAAATGAATTGTAGACGTTATTTCGCGTTTTAGAAAACTGTTTTAATAAATTGTAATAGGAATTGATTAAAATACTCTATTTTGACAGAGTTCAGACAAGAGTTGGAAAAAAATCGATGTTTAAAAAAAAAATTCAACTGCAATTTTGAGGTGTGATGTCATTTTAGGGGGGGGGGGGGGAGTGTCTGGCTTTTTGTGACGATGTGTGACGGAGGGGAGTGGGGAGGTAAAAATCGTTCAAAAAAGCGTGATGTCATTTATGGATGACCCCAAACATAACATCTGAATTCTGATATAAACTTTCATACCATAATTAGTGTAAGACTACGTTGTTTTTGTGACAACTAGATGTTAGTGTGAGCTCTTCGTTGTTCAAAGATAGACGAGAAACTGCTGGTTCATTTCATAACTTTATTTACAATAGTTAAATCCACAATAAATACAGTTCATTTTTTTGTAATCAAGCATCCACCGTTTGATATAGCACTTATGCATAGTGCGTGAATACACACGATGATATCTCGTACTCTTCGGGGGGGGGGGGGGTATGAGTCTATATAGTAAATATATATTTTTAACAGTGTCCGACTCCCCCGAAAATTTCAAGTGCCCCCCCCCCCCCCCCCCGAGAAAGAAAGAAAAAAGTCTGGAAGAAACACTGCTGCCACCTAAGTTTGATAAAAACGCAAACGTGTTAAAAAATAACAATATGTTCAAGAACAACTGTTAAAACGTGCAAATCTTACAATTAAATTAGGATAGATACACTCATTGTTTTTTTTTTTTAAATACCATTCTTAGCTGTTGCAAATTTTTCTTCAGGATCTGGAAGGATATTCCTGAGGTGCCTATTGCTGGATAAGGTTAAGTCGTAATGGTACTTTAAAATGGGCACATTTCATCCACGCTGGGTTGAAATATAGAGGAACATTGGCAAGGATTAAGTGAGATAGACTCATTTAGTCTCTTCAGTATATTGGTGCTGGATTTTACGTCGTATGTGGTGTATCTATATGGGGTGGGGGTCTGGGTGACATTACTTACAGGGGAGTATAGCACTGATAGGCACTGTGACAGGTAGACACTGTGGCAGGGATTCACTGTGACAGGGATTCACTGTGACAGGGATTCACTGTGACAGGTAGACTGTGACAGGTAGACACTGTGGCAGGTATTCACTGTGACAGGTAGACACTGTGACAGGGACTCGCTGTGACAGGGATTCACTGCAATAAGTAGACTCTGTGACAGTTAGACACCGTGGGAGGGACTCACTGTGACAGGGATTGTGACAAGGAACCACTGCTACAGGTAGTCCTGTGACAGGGAGGGACTGTAACAGGCACACACGGTGACAGGAACTGACTGACAGGTAGATACTGTAACAGTGATTCACTGTGACAGGGACTGACTGTAAAAGGTAGATACTGTGACAGATAGTAACTCTGACACGTAAACACTGTGACAGTGACTGACTGCGACAGGCACACACACCATCACCACCAGCATGGCAAGCCACTACTTCCACATCGCCGACTACGTTGTCTTTGGCCTGACCATCGTCGTCTCCGTGGGTATCGGGATCTACTACGCTTTTAGCGGCGGCCGTCAGAAGACCACTTCCGGTAAGTTACGTCATTGACTCAGTGCTGTACAGCTTTAATTAGGTCATTTAATTAGGTCATTTAATTAGGTCATTTAATTAGGCAATTTAATTATGTCGTTTAATTATGTCATTTAAATGTCATTTAATTATGTAATTTAATTGTCATTTAATTATGTCATTTAATTGTCATTTAATTATGTCATGTAATTATGTCATGTAATTAGTTTATTTAATTAGGTCTTTTAATTGGGTCATTTAATTAGGTCGTTTAATTATGTCATTAAACTATGCCATTTAATTATGTCATTTAATTATGTCATTGAACACGTGCTTTAAAGCTTTAATTAGGTCATTATGGGAATTACAAAGAAATGACGTGAGACGGTAGTGCCTATTACGTATAATATGTCAAAGGAAATAGATTGTGTATACTGTGCTTATATTTAAATAAATAAACGCAATGTGTTTTAGTCAATATCCCAAGAAATTAATTAAAGGCATGCAAACATATAAATATTGTTTTATACATCTGTTTTTATTAAACAGTATTGAAATTTTATTGGTAAACAAACTCAAAATAACGAAACAAAATGTAACCAATTTAGAAAATTATTTTTTGTCTTGTCAGTTAGGCCTATATTTCAGTCCCCTGTTTCGCTAGCATTAGTAAAAGATCTAAAAAAATAAACATCGGAAACAAACTTTCTCACAGAGTACCTAGTCGGCGGCCGGTTAGGCCTATATATCAGTTCCCTGTTTCGCTAGCATTAGTAGAAAATCTAAAAAAAATAAACATCCGAAACAAACTTTCTAACAGAATACCTAGTCGGCGGAGTAAAAATCTAAAAAAATAAACATCCGAAACAAACTTTCTCACAGAGTACCTGGTCGGCGGCCGCTCCATGAGTTTCATCCCAGTCGCCATCTCGCTACTGGTCAGCTTCGAGTCGTCCATCATGATGCTGGGACTCCCAGCAGAGGCGTATGTCTACGGCATGCAGCTCCTGATGGGGAACATTGGCACCCTGATCTCCCAACTACTGACCATCCATCTGGTGGTGCCGCTTCTGCATCCGTTGAAGATCACTAGCGCTTATGAGGTGAAGGAGAGCTGTCTTTAGTTTTTTAGTTTTTCTATTACTTGTATTTTGGGATGGCGTGGTTGAATGGTAGAGCGTTCGACTACTAGGCTGAAGGTCTAGAGTTCATATCTCGGTCCAGATTCAGGGACTGCAGGACGTCACTGAGTCCACCCAGCTAAAATGGGTACCTGACTTACTTTATGAAACTAAGGAAGTTGGGCTTAGTGTTGACCACACTACCACCTCACATGCCGAGGTCAAAACACGTTCTTATTTTCTTGGGTACGAACAAGCAAAGATGATGACATGTTGTAAGTAATTAATACGGCACCTGAGATTTTTATAGGCATCTCTTCGAAGAACGTCACCACCCCCTCCCCGCTTCCCAACGAAATAGAATCTAGATGTAAAATATATACCTTTACCAGTATCACCCCCTCCCCCTCAGGAGAAATTAAGTCCCAACCTAAAATTTCAAATGCCCCCTCCCCTCCCCCAACCGGAAGAGAAAAAAAGCTAGCGTTATTTTTAACAACATATCAGTTAACTATTTCAAAGTTTAAAATACGCAAAAGAAATTAAAACATGCTCTCTCTTCGACATGTACATACATGAATGTGTACGTGTTTTTATACTGTGTGTACATGACATCACTGTGTGTTTGGTTAACCTAGTCTTTACCTTGTGTTTACATTGTGTTTACATTGTGTTTACATTGTGTTTACATTGTGTTTACATTGTGTTTACATTGTGTTTACATTGTGTTTACCACGTGTGCCACCTTTCCCCCTCCGACCGACCTTATGTTTAGCTTGTGTTCAGGGGCGGAACTACAGTGCCCCAGACCCCGCAATGGGGGGGGGGGGGGGGCCGGGCAGTTTAGGGGCCCGCAGCCGACCATAATCAGTTATTTTTTACAGTTAAAAAAAACTCTTGCATTTTTGACTTGATGGTTGTTTTGTAAAAAGAATACTGTAGCTGTGGTTTCATTATCTTTATTCTATAGACACCATCCCGAGTCCTCTTTCTCCTACAATCAAACACACGTTGTTGACGGTAAAATTCTTTTGAAAACAAATGAATCGCGTGAAAGATACGCAAACGTTCAAACCACTTACATGACTTATTTCCCTTTTTTTAATAGTCGAATATGTGTGCTCTCAAGCACCTTTTAATGGATTTGCACTAAACAAATGAAAAAGCAATTACTTCTCTTAATTATTATTTTAAAAAAAAATACATAATAAAGAATGACAAAGCATAAACAGGAAATGTATTTAAAACTAATAATATAAATACGAAAAAACATGAAAATAAACATAACGTGAGAAACCATTGTACATACAAAGCTTTTATGCTTCATATTCCTTTGACCGACTTACTACCAGGAAGCACAGTTTCTTCCAGGCATCTCAAAAAATTTTTACCGCCCCCCCCCCCCCAACGAAATGAAATTTATATAATTTATATAGAAAATATATACTTTTACCAGTGTCGTCGTCCCCCCCCCCCCCGAAGAAAGTCTACCCCCCAACCGAAAATTTCAAGTGCCCCCCCCCCCCCCCCCACCCCCGGAGAAAAAAGTCTGGAAGAAACACTGACAGGAAGCATTATAGCAAACATATAATTTAAAAAAAATAGAGATTTTCAAAATAGACTAATAAGCACTCACAAAAATGACGCGTTGTTGTAACTTGTTTTAAATTTTAAAAAAGGTATTTTTAATTTTTTTTAAAAACTCGAACAAGCCCGAAATGAGTACTCTACATTGGCATTTTCGTTATATATATATATATATATATATATATATATATATATATATATATATATATATATATATATATGGAGCCCAAAAAAATTATTTGCGGGGTGGCCCTTTTTTTCTAGTTCCGCCACTGCTTGTGTTTAATATGTGTTTACATTGTGTTTACCTCGTATTTAGAGAGTGTTTAAATTTGAATTTTCCTTGTGTTTTACCGTGTGTTTACAATGTGTGTCACTTTGTGTTTGACTTATCTTCTACTTGAGCTTACCTTGAGCTTACCTTGAGCTGATCTTGAGCTTACATTGAGCTTAATTGAGCTTACCTTGAGCTGATCTTGAGCTTACATTGAGCTTACCTTAAGCTTACCTTGAGCTTACCTTGAGCTTACCTTATATTTCCAGTACCTGGAGCTAAGGTTTCAGTCCCGCTGGGTGAGGTTACTCGGTACACTTATGGGCATGTTGACCTACGTGAGTCGTTTAATTAATTAGGTTAATTAACTACACTCTTAAAAATACTTAAATCTTATTATTTGGTTGGGTAAGTAAAGCTCATGATTTCTAAATTGGAAAGTCTTGGAATCCCCGGCAGATGAGGCTCGATGGCTAGGAACAGCACACCCATCTAGGAGTGACAACTCCAAAATCAAACAACTGCTGCCTTGCAGTTTGTTCTTGGTTGGACGAAGGCAATGGAAACATCAAGAAAGAAAAGCAGTCTGAAATCGGATTCAACGGCTTATAGGGCGTATAACAAATTAACACGTAATAATCTATTGTGTTGGACGAAATCTCTTCCAACATTACAATTAAGCTTGAAGATGAAAAATAATTTTCTATATTTTATCTTTAAATTGTTGAACAGAAAAAAAAATCACTTTTCTAAAAAAAATGGTTTCAGGTCTGGTACATGGGTATAGTCTTATTTGGCCCAGCAGTCGCATTAGAAGCAGGTCAGTAGTTAAAAGTAAAATTGTTTCGTATTCTAAGCTCGTCTGACTTTTTAAAAAATATGTAAATAAATAACACAATCTATTTATAACTTACAGTGACCGGGTTTTCCCTGTGGAACTCTATTGTTACAATCTCGTTAGTGTCTGTCATCTACACATCCATAGTAAGTTGTTGAGTTGTCATATATATATATATATATATGTATATATATATATATATATATATATATATATATATATATATATATATATATATATATATATATATATATATATATATATATATATTTATATATTTATATATATATATATATATATATATATATATATATATATATATATATATATATATATATATATATATATATATATATATATATATATATACATATACATATATTCAGTAAAGTAATAAATTACATTTCATGAATATTTTAGACACACTAAATGCTGATTTAAAAAATTGAAATCTTTGATTAATATTGGATGCTCATTACTTCCGTTCATGACTTGGAAAATAGTAAGGGAGACAATTTTTAACTGTGTTTTTAACAAACCTGTAATAATATTTTAAAATTTCAGCACTAACTAAGAAAATTAAAATTATTATTTTCTTTTTACTAAAAAAGAGTATTAACATAAAACTATAGATTTATGTCTGTGTCATAAAGTTTATATATTTAATATTATCTATTTTAAATCTTCAAACCACTAGTTTTATAAATCATTATACTAATATACTAATTTACCAGTTAATTCCATTGATAATTTCCCTATTATCATTTCTTAAGGCAGGGGTCGGCAACCTGCGGCTCGCGAGCCGCATGCGGCTTTTGATATCAAGATGCGGCTCTCCAGCTCCTTGAACAAATACTAATAATCTTAATAAAAAAATAAAATATTTGAAATTAAAAAAATGTTAGTGGCTCTTTAAAACCAGGGAAATTTTGAAAATTGTAACTTTTGGCTCTTCCGCTTCAAAAGGTTGCCGACCCCTGTCTTAAGGTGTTTTGTTCTCGCATTTTGATATCAAAAGAGCCGCAGGTTGCCGACCCCTGGCTTATCCCTTTAAATTTTGTATAACAACGTATATATGATAACCATGTACATACTTATTATTAATACGTTCAACTGTAAAAAAAAATGTTTCATTAGATGATAAAATTTAGTAAAAAAAAATGTATACATTTGTAAATTCATCTTGATATGTTTTTTTTAATAAGAACATTTGAATTTATGTAAAATATGTTGATGTTGTTGCACTTGTTTTAAATTGCAAATAAAAGTATACAAAAAAAAAAAAAAAAAAAAAAAAAAAGTTCTCGAATACAAATGTCGAACGAACATGTCTTAACCAACTCTCCCGCTCCCCCCTCCCTTAAACCGACTTTGTACCGGAAACTACACTCACCAATTGTTAACATTGTTATTCTTTACTTTGCTCAAACCAGGGGTCGGCAACCTGCGGCTCATTTAATGTCAATATACGGCTCTGCAATTGCATAATTTATTTAGCGCAATTTCCATACTGGCAATTGCGTTTAATAATGCGTCATTTCTGGATGGATGGATGTGTGGATGTGTGTCCGCAGCTTTAAGTCGTATCTCCTCCCCAACAAAGCAATATCGAGGACTAGTTCCAAAAGCAAATATGTTAAATGATTGTGGGCCAAAAAAATTCCCGGAATTCCTTCCTGGATTTCCCGGAAAAGCCACAAAACTTCGAACAAATGCAGTTTTTGGCCCATATCTCGGCAACCAGACCACTTAGCGACTTGAAACATTTACCAATCGATTCCTGCCATAATTCAGAACAATATTGCCGAAGAAAGTTTTCAAAAATATCCTTTCGTTCGGTCACAAATGTTTTTTTAAAATTACATAACACCTACAAACCGATCGTTCTCCTAGCTTGAACGCACCCCATTCTATTTTTAGATAACATAAGGAAATTGCGCTTAAATTGTCACTAGACTTTTTATTAACTTGTTTTTCAAAGCTTAAGTAAAAATATACTGAAAAACAAAACAACTTTAAACAAAACTAAAAAAAAGAGAATAGGTGAAGTAGATCGTATATGGACAGCTGACAACCGCTGGGCATTGCCAGTGTTTCTTCCACTTTTTTCTCCGAGGGGTGGGAGGGGGGCGGTACTTGTAATTTTCAGGGGGGGGGGGGTAAACACTCCTGGAAGATGCCTGGAAAAAGTTCTGGGTATTAGGACTTTTTCCAGGCACACACCTGTGCTAGTGGCTCTTTAAACATTTTGAAATTTTCGTGAGCATCCGTCTCAAAACTTGCTGCCCCCTAGATTAAACCCACGTTACTAATTCCCGGTTTGCATAGCATTCTGTTTTTAAAGTTTTGTATTGTAAGAATAGAGGAAGAATTGTAATTATGCGAAAAATCGAAATCGAGATTTACACCTACCCGAGTCGGAAAAACAGTTTTGGAATGTTGTCCGTATGTCTGTGTGTCTGTGAGCACGATAACTTGAGTACCGTTGCAGTGAGGTTGATGAAATCAGTGGACCTTGTTTTACTTTTGGTTTTTTAAAAGCTTATAACCTGAGTACTGTTTTTAAATATATAAACGAAATTTCTATTCTATTTTAAAAAGCTAAAGTCATTAAAAATTGATTAAAAATCATTTCTATATCCCGAATCGCCTTCCCCCTGTAGTGTTATATAAGAATATTCGAGAAAGTTTAGGGGAGATTAGTTTTGTTTTTAATGAGTTGTATCAAAAATTAAGTTTTTATCAACATCTTTATATGTATCATCAATATAATCAATCAACCATATGCATATGTGAATGTATGTGTATGAACAGCTTTATACCAATGTTCCCCAGGGTGGCCTTAAGGCTGTAGTTTGGACGGATGTCTTTCAGGCATTTGTTATGTATGCTGGGATATTCTCCATCTTAATCAAGGTATTTCACGTTTTTTTAGGGAATTAAAAATTAAACAATAGAATTTATATTTGCTTAAATTATTTCACATTTCTCTATCACATTCCCAATGATCAACCGGAATAATGCGCAGCAGAAAACACGCAAAGTAATAAGTGCACACTTACAAAAATATGCGCAAGGGATTTTTTTTTCAATCTTTACACACCCTAACGTGAGGTAGGTACCCATCAGAGCTGGGTGGATTCAGGGACGGTCTACTGACTTGAACCCGGATTCCAACTCGAGACCTACGGGTTAGCAGTCAGCTCTCTACCGCTAGGTCACTCCGTTAGGGTATTACATGCAAAGTATGAGTGAACTTCCGAATGCTCAGTACCAGTATCTCTTGAAAAATACTTTTTTACTTGACGTTTTATGTAATTTATTTCTGCAGGGTACCATAGAGGCAGGCGGGGCCAAGAATGTTTGGGACATCGCTGAACGTGGAGGCCGATTCAACTTTTTCAAGTAACCAACTTTTTAAACTTGTTTTATGTAAAGTAAATATCTTTTTATACTAACCAAAGTGTTATACGAAAAGTAACTAACTTTATAAAATAAACATTAAAAAATAAACTACTTTTCAAATGAGCTAATTTTCAAAAAATAACATTTTTGAATAAACAATTTGTCAAAGGAAACAGCTTTTAAAAAATAAGCAACCATCTTTAATTAATTAATTTTTTTTTTCATGACGAACTTTTTCTAATAAATGCATGTTAAAAGAGACCAACTATTTAGAGAGCTGCTAATTTTTATAATTGAAGTTAAAAGTAGGTACCTTTAAAAAAGAATAACATACGCCTCTCAACAGTACTTGAATATTTATTTTAGTAGTACACATGGTATTATATAAAAATGTTATAAAAAGTTAACGATTTTTCCGAAATTATTTCCATAATTTTTAACATTTTTTTGTAAAGTCAATGTATTGATATTTAAAATCGTCTGAACTTATTAATCACTAAATATATTTCACTATTTTAGTAAATATTAAGCTTTTTCAAAATTAACTTGAAAAATTGTATCAATAACTTTACGCGTATCGCATGTCCTCGTTTGATTTTAACTCAGTTGTATTCTGAAGACTTAATGTGGGTATGCAGTTAAAAATATATATCAATAGATCAACGCTCTTTAATAGTTTTAGGGACGTCCTGGTTGAAAAGAAGAGCGTATGGCTGCTAACCATCATGTCGCGAGTCGGAAATCATATTTTTTTTTACTTATGACTGTAGGACTTAAACCCAGCTCTGGTGGGTACCTGACTTATGTTGGGGAAAGTAAAGGTGGCTGAGCATAATGCTGACAACACCATCCTTTCATATACCGAGGTCATGAAACTAATGAACCCTACATCATCTACCTTATTTATCTCTAGGTCTTTAGCACAATGTTTACTTTACTTTCAATCATATTTATACAGAAGGTTCTTATTATTTATAGATCTTGCAGCCATTTTATTTTATACTTAACCACAATTTTAAGGTTTCGATTGCCGACATTTTTTGATTTGCAATCTGTTCCTATTGCTGTGATGACTGATTTCGTGACTTGTTATTTATTTGACTCCGTTCCTATTTTGAGAGTTTGAACTGCAAGTTTTACATTGTCCACACCATCCAAGTTTCACTAAGTTGATATAGTGTGACCCTCCTAAGTAAACTACGTCATTTCCTCCTTCAGTTTTGACCCTGACCCCAGGACACGTCACACGTTTTTCAACCTCTTTTTCGGTTCCATCATCCGGGGCTTTGGCCTCGGTTTCAACCAGAGCACAGTGCAGCGTATCAGCTCCACAAAGACGCAGTTGGAGGCCAAAAAGTAGGTACAATTTTTAAAACACAAGTACAAACTAGTCGAAAGTAAGTAGTTTTTTTAAAACACAGGTACGAACTAGTCGAAAAGTAGGTGCAATTTTTAAAACACAAGTAGAAACTAGTCGAAAAGGAGGTACCATTTTTAAAACACAAGTACAAAATAGTCGAAAAATAGGTACTACTTTTAAAGCCTAAGTAAGAATTAGCCGAAATGTAGGTACAATATTTAAAACTTAAGTACAAACTAGTCTAAAAGATATTCATATTTAAAAAATTAAGTACGAATTGTCGTAAAAGCAAGTACAATATTTAAATCCCAGAGCAAAGTTCCACATATTGACCCCACAAAGACGCAATTAGGGGCCCAAAAGTAGTTACACTGTTTTAAACATAATTAGAAACTAGTCGAAAAAAATTCATAAAAAACGTTTTAATAACAAGCTTTTATGTAATGATGCACTAAAAAGTAGAAAATAAATTATACACTACTATTTAAATTACTATAAAGAAAATCGTGGGTCACTTTAGTACTTTAGTACCTATTTGATACCTTTACTAATATTTGAGAAGAGACCCACGCTTTTCTTTATAGTAATTTAAATAGTAGTGTATAATTTATTTTCTACTTTTTAGTGCATCATTACATAAAAGCTTGTTATTAAAACGTTTTTTATGAATTTTTTTTCAGTACTTTACATGTTTTATTTACAATAGAGTTACATGACTAAAAACCATTGCGCGCCTACTGAACGTGATGGCGCAGCTATTGAACGTGATGGCGCAGCTATTGAACGTGATGACGCGTGTGGTGTGGTTGGATAGACATGCCTACTAATTCGGTCCAAATTTTAATTAATTCATAAAAAAATAATTAGGCATCCAATTAAGTCAAATTTAATTTCAGATTGCATTGTCTTCATGTCTTGACCCACGTGTCAAATGTGAATCGTATCGGTCAAGTAGAAGTTTCCGAATTTTCACTCTTGCGTTTCGATCTAGACTGACGACTGACGACAGACAGAGGAAGTGAGTGAAATAAAAGCTTGTAAAAAAAATTCATAAAAAACGTTTTAATAACAAGCTTTTATGTAATGATGCACTAAAAAGTAGAAAATAAATTATAGACTACTATTTAAAAAACTATAAAGAAAAGCGTGGGTCACTTTAGTATCTATTGGATACCTTTAATAATGTTAAGGAAGAAACCCACGCTTTTCTTTATAGTTATTTAAATAGTAGTCTATAATTTATTTTCTACTTTTTAGTGCATCATTACATAAAAGCTTGTTATTAAAACGTTTTTTATGAATTTTTTTTCAGTACTTTACATGTTTTATTTACAATAGAGTTACATGACTAAAAACCATTGCGCGCCTACTGAACATCACGTTCAGTAGGCGCGCAATGGTTTTTGAACGCAGCAATTACGTGATAGCGCAGCTATTGAAGGTGATGACGCGTGTGGTGTGGTTGGCTAGACATGCCTACTAATTCGGTCCAAATTTTTATTAATTCATAAAAAATTAATTAGGCATCCAATTAAGTCAAATTTAGTTTCAGAATGCATTGTCTTCATGTCTTGACCCACGTGTCAAATGTGAATCGTATCGGTCAAGTAGAAGTTTCCGAATTTTCACTCAAGCGTTTCGATCTAGACTGACGACTGACGACTGACGTCTGACGACTGGCGACTGGCGACAGACAGAGGAAGTGAGTTAAATAAAAGCTTGTAAAAATAGGTACAATTTTGAAACTTAGCCACAAACTAGTAAAATAGGAGGTACAGTTTTGTAATATTGGCAAACTTCGTTAGAATCATTTTTATCATAGCGAATATTTGATCGAAAACGTGATTGAATATTTATTTCTCTCAAACATTTTTTTGAAAAAAAAATTAAAAAAAACTAAACACTTCTATCCCCTTAGTCAATGCTAGTTTTATTTTACTCCATTGTTAAATACTCACGAAAACCCTTATACTTCATGCAAACCCAAATGTAGCATTAATACCTGAAAGTATAAAGGAGTTATGGAGCAGGATAAAACAAACCTCACACAAATTAAACTAGCTTACGATAAATTGCAACATCGTTCAATATTTGTTAATAACTTCAGAATGGATAACTCTACCTTTTATCCCCAGGATGCTGTTGATTACCGCCCCTTGCTACCTGATCTCCTTAGCCATCTCCATGTATGAAGGGGTTGTGGCCTACGCTTTCTACGAGACTAAGAAATGTGACCCGTTTGAATCGAAACAACTGGCCGACCCTAATCAGGTACTTGGTGCAGTCTTTAGAGAAATATTATGGCAGTAGGGCTTCTTGTTACCTGATTTTTGAGTAACGAACGAAGTTTGTTGCATTTATAGCGGAAGTTCGCTGTATACCGGAAGTTTGTTGCATGTATACCGGAAGTTTATTACATGTATACAGGAAGTTCGCTGCATGGGTACCGGAAGTTTGTTGCATGTATACCGGAAGTTCGTTGCAAGGAAACCGGAAGTTTGTTGCATGGATACCGGAAGTTTGTTGCATGTATACCGGAAGTTTTTTGCATGGATACCGGAAGTTTGTTGCACGGAAACCGGAAGTTCGCTGTATAGAAACCGGAAGTTTGTTGCATGGATACCGGAAGTTTGTTGCATGGATACCGGAAGTTTGTTGCATTTATAGCGGAAGTTCGCTGTATACCGGAAGTTTGTTGCATGTATACCGGAAGTTTATTACATGTATACAGGAAGTTCGCTGCACGGGTACCGGAAGTTTGTTGCACGGAAACCGGAAGTTCGCTGTATAGAAACCGGAAGTTTGTTGCATGGATACCGGAAGTTTGTTGCATGGATACCGGAAGTTTGTTGCATTTATAGCGGAAGTTCGCTGTATACCGGAAGTTTGTTGCATGGATACCAGACGTTTGTTGCATTTATAGCGGAAGTTTGTTGCATGTATACCGGAAGTTCGCTGTATGCCTGAAGTTCGCTGTATACCGGAAGTTCGCTGTATACCGGAAGTTCGCTGCATGGATACCGGAAGTTTGTTGCATGGATACAGGAAATTCTAGCATTGCACTAAGAATGTTGAATAAATATTTGACTTTTTTAGAACAGTTATTTGTAAATGAATTAGCCTTATCTTCACAAGGGTATAAACATTTCCAATTCGTGACCTTTTAAAAAGTGATTAGTATTTTTGTTACATTTGTCTAATCCACAGATTATCCCATTGATTGTCATGGATATTTTTGCGGACCTACCCGGCATGCCTGGATTATTCCTGGCATCCTTGTTCAGTGCCTCCCTAAGGTAGGGGCACATTTACTTCACACGTATCTAAATCAGAGGTGCTTAATCTTTATGATGATACATAACCCTATCAGTTTTAGATGCGCATTTACTAAACCCTTGTTAATAGTTCTATTGCCCGCAATGAAAAAAAAACGATCGTGGAATTACATTTCCGGTAAGGGTGGGGGGGACCAGGCCCGGAGCTACCTATAAGGCGAACTAGGAGGTCGCCTAGGGCGCCATTCCTAGGAGGGCGCAAAAAGGTTTAATCGCTATTATAAAAAGTACCTAATAATTAATAATTTTGATTATCTTTTATAAAGTATAGATGTTAATATACAAAGAAGTAGCGATCTGTTTGCATCCCCACCCCAAAATTAGGTCTATATATGCCTATTGTTATTCGCGATGGTGAAAATGTAACCCCACCTCCCTAATTTGGAAAGGTCGAGGCGCTTTTTACCAGTCACTTTGCCTTTTGATTTTGGGCTCACATAATTGATGTAGAAAACGATTAAATAAGTTCATAATTTAAATTTGGAACATTTCAAAGGGTTATGTAATTTTAATGTTGATTTAGTGATCGCTCCAGCGCATGGCGGGGCGTTCCAAAACACGTGCAATTTTGTTTTTTAAGTCTCGTTGTCTCCACTTTGCATTATAAATCTGTTCTGGTGTATAGAGTTTTGTAATGACAGGGTGTTCAAAGTATTGTACTTGTTTGGTAATTTTGATGAATCGTTTAGATTTGGGCGTAACGGCGGAAGGCTGTTGCTGATATGGTTTCGTAGGTATAAAGTATCGAAGTGTTAGAGAATAGTATTTTTTATTTGGCTGTAGTGTAGTTAAAGGTTTAATGGAATCTGATTGGTAGTAGAGAAATGAATGTAGGTGATGAGGTATCGGGGCTATTGAGTCATGTGGTATTAAGGTATCGAATTGTGCTGTCTGTTAACGTGTAGTAGAAGGCCCAGTGAAATCGTTGTTGATTGGGAGTATCGTTTGTAGAGCTTGGGGAAGTTAAGCGAGTTGATGTCGTAGTTCTGGAGAATAGAGTCTAATTATGATTAGGCATCGAAGTTTGATATGTGTTGTGAATGTAGTAGAGTATATCGAGTAATCGAGTTTATCGTAAATTAGATGATTTCAATTCAGGACGGGACACGCTACAAATAAAGGTATGCATTCTCTTGCTGGACATCTTTAGATTTTTAGGTATCTATATTACCATTCTTAAAATATTAATATGTAATATTATATATGCTGGAATTTATAATTAAGCGTAAACTTTGTTTTTTTTTTTTCAAATTAAAATTTATTTTTATATTTAATCAATTTTAGCATTGTCTTAGGTTTTATGCAGTTACCCGTAATTGATTTTTAGCGCAATTTCCATACTGGACAATTGTTATTAACTCGTGATTTCTGGATGGATGAATGAATGAATGGATGGATGGATGTGTGTCCGCAGCTTTAAGTCGTATCTCCTCCTTAATGAAGCAATATCGAGGACTAGTTCCAAAAGCAAATATGTTAAGCAAGTTCCGAGGATGATTGTGGACCAAAATAAATTCCCGGAATTCCTTCCTGGATTTCCCGGAAAAGCCAAAAAACCTCGAAAAAATGCAGTTGTTGGCCCATATCTCGGCAACCAGACCACTTAGCGACTTGAAACAGTTACCAATCGATTCCTGCCATAATTTAGAACAATATTGCCGAAGAAAGTTTTCAAAAATTTCCTTTCGTTTGGTCACAAATTTTTTTTTAAAATTACATAAACACCTACAAACCGATCGTTCTCCTAGCTTGAAAGCACCCAAGCATTATACGTCTTGTTTAAACTGAGCATCGTGTAGGCCTACTCGTTAAAATAAAACTATTTCCGTTGATATATAACATAAGGAAATTGCGCTTAAATTGTCACTAGACTTTTTATTAACTAGTTTAAACGTGTCCCTTTATTGGGGGATCCAAAATTTGGAATATAAAATAGAAGTGATACCTATGTTAGTCGCATGAACGTCATCAAAATTTATGTGAAGTTTATTATAAAAAAGCTACTATGTTAAGATTTTCAAACAAAATATAGAGTTTAGTAATCAATAAGTAAAATATATTCTTTCGGCAGGTTACGAAGCTAATATAAAAGATTTGTTATAATTATTACAAAATGAAATTCAAAGCGTTTTATTGTGTTTTTCAAGCATGTCTTAGTTACATTTGGTTAGTTTAGCTATTCTTGTGAAAGTTATTTCCCTTTAATACAATTTTGCTATTTTGATTTCCAAATGGGAGATAATTCGTTGCTTAACTTTACATGCATTTCAAATTCCTGCACCTTAGGTTGACCGCTTACTCATAAATACAACTTTTACTTATTATTTGCTATTGTAATAATTATATAGAGCGGAAGTTCTTACCAAAATAGTTTGGTAGGTTTTTTTTAGCATTATCAAATTGAAAAACAAATACATCAGTAGCCATTGTAGATTGCTATACTTAATTTTAGTAGACATACAGTATCAGATAGTGCAATCAATTCGTCTAAAACAAGGGTCGGCAACCTGCGGCTCGCGAGCCGCATGCGGCTCTTTTGATATCAAGATGCGGCTCTCCAGCTCCTTGAACAAATACAAATAATCTTAATAAAAAAATAAAATATTTGTAATAAAAAAGTGCTAGTGGCTCTTTAAAACCAGGGAAATTTTGAAAGTTGTAACTTTTGGCTCTTCCGCTTCAAAAGGTTGCCGACCCCTGGTCTAAAATCGTCTTAGTCGCAAATTAATCATCTAATTAATTAAGTGTCTTTTTCATAATTTTCACCCTCTTATAAAGGATTCATATATAACAATTGTAGGCTGGAATCTATAAAATTTATAACCTTTTTTTTTGAAAAACAAAAAAATCGTTACATAATCACACAATATAGACATTTTGCAACTAGATCTATAACTAAAGACAGTCAAGCTTAAAACAGGTAAGTTCCGTTCTGGAACTTTTTTCCAGACTTTTTTCTCTCGGTAAAGGGGGGGGGGGGGGTGAAGCACTTGAAATTTTCAAGAGAGTGGGGGGGGGGGGGGTCATGAAGTACAAAGTAGACTCGTGGACTTAGCAACAATTTTCATAGAATGTGATTACGCTTGCAAACTGGAATTGAAGAAATTAGTACAAACTTTTGCGACGAAGGAGGGAAGTACCATTTGATTTTGATCTCTACTTATAACGTGTATGCAATCGATAATAGATCAATGTCTCTTTTATTCAATTGTTATCTTATACATATGTTTTAGTAATTAATTTGTGTAAAAGGGGGCGTTTTGATAAGTTTTGCCTAGGGCGCTAAATAATCTGGCGCCGGCACTAGGGGGGGTGGGACGACACTGCTTGAAGTATATATTTGTTCTATCTATATATAATTCTCTTCTTGGAGGCGATAGAAAACACCAAGCTGTCAGCGCCTAGCAGCCCACTCTCTTCTTCTCTAGGCATATCCCTACCACCCCCACCAAAACATGGTCTGGTGAGCTGTGGTTCACGCTAAATGTTTACAATCGTAGAGGCGGGTTTAGTGACGGCTATTAGGGGCAGATACTTTAGTTTGAAACGATTTTAAACTTAGGGAAGGTAACTAAGAGGAGGGTGCTTTCACGGGGGGGGGGGGGGGGGGGAGGTGTAGGGTAGGGGTTCGGGGAAAGGAGGGTGGGCAGATTATCGTCCTTAACGACCTACTGATAGTGTTTTAAAGCAAATATTTTAAATGGCAGCATTGGTACTTTCGAATTCACAAATTATGAATTACTGAAAAGTAGAAAATAAAACAACTAAATAGCGGCATATGATACGCCGCGGGTCGGCTCGTAAATTAAATTTTGTGAAGAGATGCTGGAAACAACTCATCATGAGTGTTCTAGACTCGTTCAGAATTTAAAAACCCGTGTTACCTCGTGACCTCGCGCGGTCGTCCCACTTACCAAAACAAGGCTCGTTAACCATTTTTTACCTGATTATACAATAAGAATAATCCAAAACGGCCCAAATAACAGCGGAGGGTCACTCAGTTTTGTATCAGAGGTGGAGGAGGGTGGGGGGGGGGAGTCTATCGTTATAGTAACACAACTAACAAACGTTGCTTAAGTCACAAACTGAAATCTAAAAAGATATATTGATTTACCTATTTATAACTATTGGAACATTTACCACCTTTAGATTATCGCTACATTTACCCTTTTACGGCTGTCGCTACATTTACCACCTTATTATAATTTCTTTATTTGCTACTCTTTACCTATAACTACATTTACCACCTTCTAAGTATTACTGAACTTACCACTTTATTATCATTACTATATTTACCACCCTATGACAATCATCATATAGAAGTCCCTGTATTTACCACCATTTGAGTATTACTACATGTACCACTTCATGACAATCCCTGTATTTACCACCTTATGCTTTTCACTACCTCTTTTGGTCAACCCTCCCTGTAGCACCCTCTCCTCTGGGCTAAGCAGTCTCTCCGCCTTGCTGTGGGCTGACGTCATACATCCCATCCTGGGGCCTAACGTGTCAGAGACTAAAGCCACCATCATAGCTAAAGGCTCGGGTAAGTGGTATCAGCTGACGTCATTAAATTAAAGTTGAATAAGTTTGATGACGTCATGAACAAAGGTATGGAACGGCATGGTCGCATGGTAAAGCTTTTGGATACTAACCAGAAGGTCTCGAGTTCGGATCTCTCCCTGAATCCACCAGCGCTGATGGGTACCTGACTTACTTTGGGGAAAATTAAGCGGCCAGGGATTGGGCTGACCACACTACAACGAGATCAAGAAATATGAACTTTACTTCATCTTCCAAATAGACTGCTAGGTCTAAAGAGGAGCTTTACAAAATAACAAAAGTAATATGTTTCTCTTATTTAAAATCTAACCAAGAGTAACTTGGCATCAATGTTAGAATGTAATGTTTACATTTCAGTTCTTCTCTTTGGCATCATGGCATGTGGAATCGCTATTCTGGTCTCACAGATTGGCGGCACACTTACCCAGGTAAATCTTTATTAATTACTTAACTATTCTTGAGTAATTATTTATTGTTTTAAAAAAATGTACACTTTTTACTTTCTCGTATATACGAGTCTTGTAATCGTCTGTGTGTAAGTGTGTGTGTGTGTGTGTGTCTGTAAACACGATAACTTGAGTACCGTTACAGCTAGGTTGATGAAATATCACATATAAGTATTTTATCGAATTCGTAGATCCGTATAAACTTTTGAGCGATTTCCGATAACCGGAAGTGGTACTTTTTCTTCTTTGAATTTTTCAAGAGCCTATAACTTAAGTACTATTTCAGATAGATAAATAAAATTTCACATGTAAGTAAAAGATCTAATCCTCTACCTTCTATCAACTTTTGAGTAATTCCCGTTGAACGGAAGTAATAATTTACGCTATATCCGATTTCTCAAAAAAAGTATGTAAATTTATAAATTACTTATAATATTCCGCACTATTATGCACATTTTGTTTTGGCGTTCGCTTAGTGCGCAAGTCTTTTTCTACGAGATTTTATTCTATTTTAAAAAGTTTAAGTAATTAAAAATCATGTCTATATTCTGAGTTGCCATCCCACGTAGTGTTATATAAGAATTTTCGAGAAAGTTTAGGGGAGATCACTCCCGGTTTTTTTTAAACAAGAAAATGTATGATTCATTTGTTTCATCTACATCAAGCCACGGTCATAATTAATTAAAACGACTAACAAGATTATATTATATGAACAAAAAATACCTCGATATAACATGTCTAGTCAAAACATACCCCGACAAAACTTACATCTAAACAATTGTCTTGAAATAATTTTCTAGAAAGAAAGATAAACTGACAAAACTTACCAAGACAAAAGTTTATAAAAAGATACCTACACAAAGTTTACCTACCTAAAGAAAACTTTCATTTACAAAACGTTTTTGTCAACTTACCTTTAAACTTACAAGTCAAATTACCTGTCAACTAACTTGTCAACTTACCTGTCAAATTACCTGTCAGCTAACATGTCAACTTACCTGCCAACTCACCTGTAAATTTACCTTTAAAATCTACCTTCACCAGATAACAGGAAGTCTTCTATCGGCCTTTGCTGGACCCCTCACAGGTTTATTTTTTCTGGCGTGTTTCTTCCCCAGGGTGAAAGCTAGGGTGAGTTTTGTTGTGTACATACAAACACACACACAATCACAAACACACACACACACACACCATCACACACACACACACACAATCACACACACACACACACACACACACACACACACACACACACACACACACATATATATATATATATATATATATATATATATATATATATATATATATATATATATATATATATATATATATATATATATATATATATATATATATATATATATATATATATATATATATATATACATACATATATGTAAGCGTCTCCGTGTGTGTGTATCATAGCAGATAGCGGTGACCGGAATGATGAGCAACAGAAAACTGCGCACAAAAAAAAGTCCGCAAGGACAATTTGGTTTTTTCAAACAGCACTTTTACAGGCATTATCTAAGAGTGACAATATGCACATTGTAGCATAATAAAACATATTTCATCGAAATAGGACAAAATTAAAGTTTATTTGTATAATTAATTTTATTTGCGCAATTTTCTGTTGTGCAGTTTTCGACTCGCAGTATTGCAATTGCGCATCTTTCTGGGCAGATGGCCTTATATAAACACAATACGAACCAGGTTGATAAGTGCATGCGTTTTGTTTAATGTAGAGTAGTGTTCAAGTACCCTTCTGAACCTGATGCTCCGTGTGGCAGGTAAAGTCAAGTTCACCTGTTTCCCTGACCTTGGCATATGAAGGGAAAGTGTGGAGGCAGGTACCCATCAGAGCTGGGTGGACTCAGGGGCGTCGGAACACTATTTCGGTTTCTGAAATCAAAACCAGTGTTATCAATCGTACGCTCTTTATATCCGCCCACGGCGTTCATAGACTTAGCGTCATAGTTACGTCTCTGTCTTTAAGTCTTAGATACCCATCAGAGCTGGGTGGACCCAGGGGCGTCTTCAGAACTGTCGGTTTCTGAACTCGAAACTTCAGTGTTATCAATCGTACACCCTAACATCCGGCCACGGGGTTCCTAGACTTAGCGTCATAGTTACGTCTCCATCTAGAGTCTCAAATAAATTCATGTTTCCTCTTCCGTTATTCAGGGGGCGCTAATCGGGGGCGCCGTCGGGCTCGCCTTCTCAGTCTGGCTCTCCCTGGGGATAACGTTCTCCCCCTCCAAGAAGGCCACGCCCTGGCTGCCCGCCGCATCCACGGACAACTGCCCGGTAGGTGACGTCACATACAACGTCACCAACACCTCCATGGCCTTCAGCTACGTGGAGAACGTGACCTACGTTGCCATGACGACCGTGAGCGAAAACATCACGACGGTGGTGAAAACAGCGAGGGAACCGTGAGTTGAAACGTTGAAACACGTCAAACCTTGTCTACACATTCTTTTTATTATATTTTAACAAAAACTTATCTTTGCTAGGTAAAAATTAGTGCATTTATTTTGAGTGAAACATTATTGTACCTAAGGGGTCATCCATAAATGACGTCACACTCGTACGGGGAGGGGGGTCCGTAATTTTGTGACGATGTGTGATGAGGGGGAGGGCGGGGGGGGGGGGGGTTCAGATGTTGCGACGTCACACTTTTGCATTATAAAAAAGCAATGTTAGAAAACGAATTTTAGACGTTATTTCGCGTTTTAGATAACTGTTTTAATAAATTGTAATAGTTTAGACAAGATTTTAGAAAAAATATCGATGTTTTTAAAAAAAATTCAACTGCAATTTTGAGGGGGGGGGGGTTGTAGATTGAGGTGTGACGTCATTTTAGGGGGGTTCTGGCTTTTTGTGATGACGTGTGACGGAGGGGAGGGGGGGGGGAGGTAAAAATCGTCAAAAAAGCGTAACGTCATTTATGGATGATCCCTAACTTTAAATTTACAGCTGAATAACGCTTATAAAAACCTTGAAATTCAATCATTATCTCGCCATACGTTTTGTAGGCTTTATTGTCTAATCGAGGCTATCGTATTTTATTTTTGAAAGCTGTAATAACTTCAAACTCCACCCCTTAATCCTAGCTATAATCCATGCTATAATGCTAATCTAAATCCTAACTGTAGCCTTAACCTTTGCATAATTCTTGGCATTGCAGCATTTTTTAACTTCATCCTAATCCTTAAGCTGTACTTAGAGCAGTAATCTTCACACGATTTAATCATTAATGCTAAACTTATCCCCTAATTCTTAGAATTTCCAACAATCCAAAAGGAACCGTTTTGTCAAAATAAAGACTCAAGCTTTAGTGGTGGGGGGGGGGGGGGTTTATTGGCAATCCTGGTTTGGTATTGATCATATTCATGCAATAATCTTAACTAATCTGATTTACGGTAGTATTAAATACGTTTCTCTCTTGTTGTTGATGTGTTGATGTACAGTCTTCCTGGGCAATTAACTCCGAATTAAATTAATATTAACCTTTTTTCCACCGTTTGCTTTTACATTCTAGCCTTGGTTTTTTTTTCATTCAGGATTGCTTGCCTATTTGACAAATCTTGAATACTAAACGCACAGATTATATACAGTCTTAGCATCAAACCTCTACATCCACAACATTAGGGTTATAATTCAGACAGAATTTTATGCTTAGATCACCAAATTAAACGCCATTATGGACAGTTTAAGCCGTAATCCTATTGATCAAAAACTATATATTCATGTTTTATCCACAGTGCTAGCAGTTGATAAAAAAAACACCTGTATCCATTGTTTATCCACAGGGTTGGTGTAGAACTCATGTACACCATATCCTACCTGTGGATATCAGTGCTGGGCACATTTTCATGTATCCTGGTCGCTTTAGTCGCTAGTGTATTTACAGGTTGGTAGTTAATGAATTAGTCGCTAATGCGTTATCAGGTTGGTAGTTAGTCGTTAATGCCTTTACAAGTTGGTATTTATTGCATTTGTCGCTCTTGCCCACATTATTTTAGTGTTTTATTTTTCAGTCCCTTTTTATTGATTATCGCAAATTATTTTTTTACCAAACGCAGCCAATTTTAATTGACCAATTCCTTTTCTATTGACCAGCAGTCCTTTTCTTATTGACCAACACAATCCCTTTTTATTGACCAATCAATTTCTATTGACCAACGGAGTCCATTTTTTTATTTTTAAATTTTTTTTTAATTACTAAGACAATTCCTTTTTATTATCCAGTTCCATTATACTGACCAACATAGACCAGTGTATCAGTATAACACGTAACACGCAAAAACGACACGACGGACTTCTAACTCGACAATGAAGTCAGTGAAAGAAAGTTTAGCACCATACATAGACAGTAGCGGATTAAGAGGGGGGGGGGGGGCGGGGTTGAGAGGACTGCAGTCAGGGCCCCCGATTTATAGGCGCCCACAAATTTACTGCTTAATTGTTGGTTTTCACTATAAAAACGTTTTAATGTTTGTATCACAAGCTTCAATTGTTTTAACAAAATATGCACACACACGCATATATATATATATATATATATATATATATATATATATATATATATATATATATATATATATATATATATATATATATACATCCCCCCCCCCTTGAGCAGGTATGAACAAGCCAGGGGACGTTGACCCTAGGTATCTGATCAGCATGTCCGGGACGATGCTCATCTGTTTCCCTAAGCCGGTCATCAAGTTTTTCAGCTCGATGGGACCCCAGTACATGAGGGAAGAGTTCAAGGTTAGCACGTGACCTTTTTTTTCTCATTGTTTCTAGCGAAGTGGTTTGCCGATTTAATTATGTTACTCCCCTAGAGGGGTGGGGGTTATTATGATAATAAAGATAGGTCTATAAAGTTTGTGATGGCGAAGTGAAGGAGTAAATCAACAAAACAAAAATGATGATTGTTTCTTAAAGCCTTAAAATGTATTACAACAAGGAGACGGGGGGAAGGGAAAGGGGCTTTGTCATGATGGCTAAAAGATGGTGTGAGAAATGCCCGATTCTAGATCAGCATACTGTAGTGGCCTGCCTATCTTAAAGGCATTACACTTGAAATTGGCTGTTGCTCGCAAATCTAGATCGGCATACGGTTGTGGCCTGTCTACTTTAAACTGTCATGCTGTAGTAGGCTACCTGCCCTAGGAGCAGTTGTCTTCAGATTGGCAGTTGCACACAATACTTATTAGTGCTAATTAATTATAAATTAAGCCATGCTCAAAAATAAACTTTAGACGGGGGAGGTAGTTTATTTTTAAATGTCTACCATTGCCTAGCATAAATTAAGTTGCAGAGTAAAATATCAGGATTTAGAATATTCACATTTTATTCATACTGTTTTTTAATTAAATATTTGCATTTTTTTCTTTACCCACCTCAAGGTTTTAATTAATTGAACAAGATGATTTATTAATGTATGTATAAGCCTACTGCAGTCGCATTAAAAGTAATTATAAAATGTTAATTTTCAAACAAAACTATGTTATAGAAACGAACATACAGGGGGAAGAATATAGTAACTTGTAATACAGCTGGTAAGTAGGTCACCAACTGCTCAATAAAACCTGCATGAGCCATAGAACTGGTTGGTGACCTACTTACCAGCCCTATTGGAATATCAGGGCAAAGTTCAATGACGACTCTCATTACCCTATCAAAGTCCTTAACATTTACCTTGAATTTTTTTTCTCAATGTCATCAACAGGCCAAGTTTCCAGACCCTGCTGCGCATGCGCTAGTGCTGCAGACGCCCATAGAAATTACAATCGACGCAGCGTCAGAAGATGAGGATTTCGAAGATCGGCAGACGTCGGAAAAACCCTTTTTGATGAAAAGTCCGGATAACGACCTCAGCACGTCGAGTAGACAACGGGTTATAAACGAGAACTCATATAACGGTCATTCTGATACGGACAAAAACAACTCACACAATCTCAGCACGCAGCGAACTATGAATGGCGGGTCGTAACTAGGTCAAGATGGCGGTTGGAATAGGGCTGGTAAGTAGGTCACCAACCAGTTCTACGGCTCAATTAAACCTGCATGAGCCATAGAACTGGATGGTGACCTACTTACCAGCCCTATAGGGCTTGGTATATTGAAATTAAATTTAGAGGTTTATATTTGTAATCAGTGGCGTTACACATGGGGTAGGGAAAACACCGTGTGTCGCCCCCCCCCCCTCGCCTAGTGACGCCTATGTCTCTAATTGTCATTGTACCTTTATAGCTAATCAGATGGCGATGTTATTTTTTTTATTTTTTATATTTCAGCTGATTTTAAGCACATGTAAATAGTTTTATACATTAGAAAAATAAACAATTAAAATAAACCAATAAAGCAGCTCATCAAATCATTTAAGTAATTTACACTGTATGTTACTAAATACTATTTATAACATAAGTTAATAATTACAATATTAAAGTAGTAACTAGAATTTTATTGTCATACACATTTCTTAAACTGTTACAGCTAAATTATCACAGCTATTTTATTTTTAAAATAGTTTAATCCGGTACTTAAAGTAAGTCTAGAAAGGTTTAAAGATCATAGCGCGAATGACTGCGCGGGGAGTCCCCCAAAAGTAGAGTCCCCTTGGGGAGGGGTTAACTCCGTTCCAATGCTCAACAATTACAGCTCCACGAGAATGATGATGTGATGATGATAGGAATATTGTATTGACTCTACAGCTTTTAATGTCGAAACTAGAGACGTATCAGCCAGTCGTTTCTGCTTCTTCGTTCTTAATTGTAGTATCGAAGGTAATTTCCTCCAACATAATTAAGCATTACGTGTCAGCAAAATATGACTCCGATGTCGTCAACTTTTTTTCTTGATTTACTTCCCTAGACTCAGTCCATTCATAAACATTATTCAAGGCAGCAGTTGTTTAATTTTTTTTAATTTTTTTTTATCCATGATGTGATGCAGTTCCAAGATGACCCCCATCTTCCCGAGGGTCCTAAGTTTCGGGTTATCACACTGCACCAAGTTCAAGGCCGAAGAACGTCCCTTGATTTCACCCAGCTCTGATGGGTACCTAACTTACGTTAGGGAAAGTAAAAGCGGCTGGGCATGGTGCTGACCATACTATCCCTTCATACGCCGAGGTGACAGAAACAGTTGAACTGTACCTCACTTGCCCCATGAACAATCCGGCTCGGAAGAGAAATTTTATTTTTACACTGCTTCAAGCCACAATGTTGCGAAATTTATGCCCAGATTCTACAAGCAATATCGCAATAAGTTAATTAAAAACAACAACCATAATTATACTGACTACTAAAAATCACACACGCAGTATTAGTATGAGAAAACAAATATTTTCCTCCACTGAAGTTTCTGCCTGCTAAAAATTAAACCTGCTTGGATAGTCAGGTTGCTCAAGCACTGTATATGCTATGCTTGATGTTCTACTTGGGAAGGTTTATGCTTTACCAATGCAATGTAGACTAGTATCACACTACTATAAAATAAAATCGGTGATGCTTAATTAAAACTTAAAAGGAATTTTACAAATTTGCATGACATTTTAAATGTGTATTTTTAAATGTTTAAAAAAATATTCGCAGGAAAAAATAAAAATAAAGGGAGGTAAAAATGTTTAGACAGAACCATTAACATAACAGAATGGTGTCCCTTAGTGAACCTTTTCAAAAATGTAAACACCTAACCAAACAACACACCTTTCATCAATAAATAACCTTTATTTGATTACAAATCATAGATTTAGAATTCTGCCTTTACAAATTACGTGATGATGATTATATTGGCTGATTTTACATAATATACTACACATCATTAGGTTTTGGCGGTACTGTTTTAACGTACAATTATACATAGTTCCTATATATCGTATTGCTAAAGCTGATACATAACATGTATATATATATACATACATACATACACACATATATATATATATATATATATATATATATATATATATATATATATATATATATATTATATATATATATATATATATATATATATATATATATATATATATATATATATATATATATATATATATGTAATTACCTCAGACATGTAATTTACAGCGTCCGTTCACCTTGCCATGGTCGCTTTAGTATTACAGTTTTTAATCGTCGGCATTTGAGAACCGATACAAATTTTAAAAGCAATACTTCTTTCTAACATGTACTTTCATTCATTTGAGATTGTTTACGTATACACAATTCAAAAAGTCTAATTACAATTCCATTTTTTATATCTCAAAAGACACATGTGTAATTAAATTCTGGTTCAACGATCTAAAAATAGAGGGGTATTTTTTGTTGTTGCAGTGTGTTGAAGAGGTATGGGCTTATAACTAGATCTGAAATAAATTTGTGAGTAACGAGAACTAAAATTACAAATGTCATAAGCAATCTGAAAGATATACTGAAGTAGTTAATAAAACAACATGTTTTTTTTTTTACTTTCTCGTATACGAAGTAAAGAGAAAGTATTGTAATCGTGAAAAAAAGAGAGATTTTTGCAAATCTCGACGTTTTACACTTCCCTGAGTCGAAAAAACATTGTTTTGCAATCTTGTCCGTATGTGTGTGTGTATGTGTGTATGTGTTTGTGAACACGATAACTCGAGTACCGTTACAGCTAGGTTGATGAATTTTCATATGTAAGTTTTATATCAAATTTGTGGATCTGTATCAAGTTTTGAGCGATTTCCGATAAACGGAAGTGGAACTTTTTCTACTTTCAAGTTTTCAAAAGCCTATAACTTGAGTACTATTTCAGATAGATACATGAAATTTCACTTATAATTAAAAGATCTAATTCTCTGCTCTCTTTGAAATTTTAAGTAATTCCCGTTAAAGGAAGTAGTAATTTACGCTATTTCCGATTTCTCACAAAATGCATGTGAATTTATAAAGTACTAATAATATTCCGTACTATTATACACAATTTATTTGGTGTTCACATGGTGTGCAATTCTTTTTTCTATGCGATTCTATTATATTTTAAAAGGTTTAAGTAATTCAAAATGGATTAACAATAATGTCTATATACCGAGTTGCCATCCCCCATAGTGTTATAAAATAATATTCGAGAAAGTTTAGGGGAGATCGCTCTTTTTGCTGATTACTATCAACTGTAATGCAATTTTAAATTACAATTTTTTTAACCTAACAGTTTACTTTTTGGCAGTCTTTTCTTTTAAGCTTCTTGGGCTTATTGGGGGCTTTGCGCTCTGCTTTTCACAATCTACCATATTCTATGTTGGTTAGGCGATCACGAGTCTGCTTTGCTTTCCTTAACTTGAACCTCTCAAAATCAGTCAATTCAGCCCTCCTTCAACTGTAGCTGTAGCTGTAGCTGTAGCTGTAGCTGTAGCTGTAGCTGTAGCTGTAGCTGTAGCTGTAGCTCTAGCTCTAGCTCTAGCTCTAGCTCTAGCTCTAGCTCTGGCTCTAGCTCTAGCTCTAGCTCTAGCTCTAGCTCTAGCTCTAGCTCTAGCTCTAGCTCTAGCTCTAGCTCTAGCTCTAGCTGTCGACGTAGACGTAGACGTAGACGTAGACGTAGACGTAAACGTAGACGTAGACGTAGATGTAGATGTAGACGTAGACGTAGACGTAGACGTAGATGTAGATGTAGACGTAGACGTAGACGTAGATGTAGATGTAGATGTAGATGTAGATGTAGATGTAGATGTAGATGTAGATGTAGATGTAGATGTAGATGTAGATGTAGATGTAGATGTAGATGTAGATGTAGATGTAGATGTAGATGTAGATGTAGATGTAGATGTAGATGTAGATGTAGATGTAGATGTAGATGTAGATGTAGATGTAGATGTAGATGTAGATGTAGATGTAGATGTAGATGTAGATGTAGATGTAGATGTAGATGTAGATGTAGATGTAGATGTAGATGTAGATGTAGATGTAGATGTAGATGTAGATGTAGATGTAGATGTAGATGTAGATGTAGATGTAGATGTAGATGTAGATGTAGATGTAGATGTAGATGTAGATGTAGATGTAGATGTAGATGTAGATGTAGATGTAGATGTAGATGTAGATGTAGATGTAGATGTAGATGTAGATGTAGATGTAGATGTAGATGTAGATGTAGATGTAGATGTAGATGTAGATGTAGATGTAGATGTAGATGTAGATGTAGATGTAGATGTAGATGTAGATGTAGATGTAGATGTAGATGTAGATGTAGATGTAGATGTAGATGTAGATGTAGATGTAGATGTAGATGTAGATGTAGATGTAGATGTAGATGTAGATGTAGATGTAGATGTAGATGTAGATGTAGATGTAGATGTAGATGTAGATGTAGATGTAGATGTAGATGTAGATGTACATATGGCTGTGGCTGTGGGCGTAGCTGTAGCTAGTTTCTTGGCTCCCACTTCTTTGTTATCTCTTCTTTCTCCCAAGCTTTCTTAACTGTTCCTGACCTAGCAGAGGGTCCAATGTTAATTGTAAACTGTGTAAGATGGAGTGCTTTAAAATTTAAATCTTTGCGACCCACACCTGAGCAAGGTCCATCTACAAGAGCTCTGTTTTGGTCAAAGACATCAACATTTGCAACTAATTTGCCGTTTTCATCTCTATAGGGAGCAAAGATCACAACAAATCTATTGTAAATCAATTAGCAGAGGCGACCGTATATATAATATAGCGGCCAACGCTTTTATTTATAGTGATATAAATAGTAGTGCATTAATATATTTAAAGAAAGTATTTTTTTAAATTTAAAGTAACCGCAGATTATTACATTTTTAAAAATTATTTTATATTTAATAAAAATTGTATTATTTTCTTCTTCTTAGTGCATTTATAAAAGCTTTTTATTATAAACGTTTTTATGTATTTATTATTTTTATACTTTTAATTATCAACGAGTTATACGCATGTTAAGACAATAAGCAACAAATATATGGGCTGATGCGATGGGGAACTATGGCGTAACATTCAGTCGCTGGGAACTTCTGGTGGTTAATTATTTAAATAGTAGATCATTATTGTATATTTACCGTATCTTTTTTTGCTCTTTATTACATAAAGTATTATGGAATGGCGTAGTCTAGCTGTTTATTATTTAATTATTTAAATAGTTGATCATTATTATGTATATACAGAATTGTTTACAAGCTTTTTAATTCATTAAAGTATTATGGGGTGGCATAGTCTAGTGGTAAAGAACTAGACTGCTGACCCGACTAAAAACCATTGCGCGCCTATTGAACGTGATAGCGCGCTTTTGTCGTAGAGCCCCCCCCCCCTCGCTCTACGCCCAAGACGGTGGTGATGACGCGTGTAGATAGAACTGCCTACTAATTCGGTCCAAATTTTAATTAATTCATGAAAAAATTAATTAGGCGACCAATTAAGTTAAATTGAATGTCACGATGCATTGTCTTCATGTCTTGACCCACGTACAAACTAAGAAACGTATCTGTCAGAAGTGCCTCCAATTTCACACGGGCGTTTCGATTTAGATTTTTTTACTTTCTCGTATATACGTAGTATACAGAAAGTATTGTAATCGTGCAAAAAAAAAAAATCGAGATTTTTACAAATCTCGACGTTTTACACCTCACTGATACGGAAAAACATAATTTTGCAATCTTGTCCGTATGTCTGTGTGTGTGTCTGTGTGTGTGTCTGTCCGTGTGTAAACACGATAACTTGAGTACCGTTACAGCTAGGTTGATGAAATTTCATATATAAGTATTTTATCAAAATCGTAGATCCGTATCAACTTTTGAGCGATTTCCGATAACCGGAAGTGGTACTTTTCCTACTTTGAATTTTTCAAAAGCCTATAACTTGAGTACTATTTCAGATAGATAAATGAAATTTCACATGTAAGTAAAAGATCTAATTCTCTACCTTCTGTTAAATTTTGAGTAATTTCCGTTGACTGGAAGTAGTAATTTACGCTACTTCCGATTTCTCAAAAAACTAATGTAAATTTTTAAAGTACTAATAATATTGCGCACTATTATACGCGTTTTTATTCGGCGTTTGCTTGGTGCGCAATGTTTTTTTTATGAGATTCTATTCTATTTTTAAAAGTTTAAGTATTTAAAATGGATTAAAAATCATAACTATATCCCCAGTTACCATCCCCTGTTGTTTTATATAAGAATATTCGAGAAAGTTTAGGGGAGATCACTACCGGTTTATTTAAATTTAGTTTTAAGTCTTGGTGGTTTAATTGTATTACGAAGTTATCAAGACAAGATCATTGATAAGATCCGAAACAAAAGATCTTAGACAAGATCTAGGTAACAACAAAGATAAAGACAGGATATATGGACAAAATTTAATGTATAGGCAATACAAACGATATATTTAAGAGTCAAATATTGTGCAAGATATAAAATATTAGATGTAAGGTCAATAGGTAAGACCTAAGTGTTTATAAAAATATTTAAATATTTAAGGTCAATAGACAAGACCTAAGTGTTTATAAAAATAATAAACTATTAGATATAAGGTCAATACACAAGACCTAAGGGTTTAAAAAAAATAATAAAATCTTAGATGTAACGTCAATAGTTAAGACCTAAGTGTTTATAAAATAATAAAATATTTAAGGTCAATAGATAAGACCTGCGAAATAGGAGTCAACAATGTACATTGCAGGTTGTACCCAACTACTTATTTTAAAATAGCAAGCCTTTCATTTTAGTTTAGACTACAATAATTGATCAAGATGTTATATTATATATTACATATATTCAAAAAGTTACTATTTAATTGTTTATACAATTAAAATATACATATTAAGCGAGACAGTTTAAACAATATATTAATTTCATTTTGTTCTTAATCATTTACATAGTGATTTTAGCATAACTTTACAATATATACGCAGGTTACCTCCCCTGATAACTTTAATCTATAATGCATACAATGCGCTAAATACTAAAAAAAAATAATAAAATAAACCGGGAGTGATCTCCCATAAAATTTCTCGAATATTTTTACTTTCTCGTATATACGAAGTATAGAGAAAGTATTGTAATCGCGCAAAAAGAAAAATCGAGATTTTTACAAATCTCGACGTTTTACACCTCACTGATACGGAAAAACATAATTTTGCAATCTTGTCCGTATGTCTGTGTGTCTGTGTCTGTGTCTGTCTTTCTGTCTGTCCGTGTTTAAACACGATTACTTGAGAACCGTTACAGCTAGGTTGATGAAATTTCATATATAAGTATTTTATCTAAATCGTAGATCCGTATAAACTTTTGAGTGATTTCCGATAACCGGAAGTGGTACTTTTCCTACTTTGAATTTTTCAAAAGCCTATAACTTGAGTACTATTTCAGATAGATAAATGAAATTTCACATGTAAGTAAAAGATCTAATTCTCTACCTTCTCTAAATTTTGAGTAATTTCCGTTGATCGGAAGTAGTAATTTACGCTACTTCCGATTTCTCAAAAAACTAATGTAAATTTTTAAAATACTAATAATATTGCGCACTATTATGCGCTTTTTTATTTGGCGTTCACTTGGTGTGCAATTAATTTGTCTACGAAATTTTATTCTATTTTTAAAAGTTTAAGTATTTAAAATGGATTAAAAATCATGTCTATAGCCCGAGTTCCCATCCCCTGTTATTTTATATAAGAATATTCGAGAAAGTTTAGGGGAGATCACTCCCGGTTTATTATATAACACTACGGAGGATGAAAACTCGGGATATAGACATGATTTTGTATTCCATTTTCAATTACTTAAACTTTTTAAAAATATAATAGAATCTCGTAGAAAAAAAGTATTGCGCACCTAGTGAACGCCAAATAATCTGTGTATAATACTGCGGAATATTATTAGTATTTTATAAATTCACATGCGTTTTTTTTTAGAAATTGGAAAAAGCGTAAATTACTACTCTCAGTTTTACGGAAATTACTCAAAATTTGACAATAGGCAGAGAATTAGATATTTTAATTATTTTTTTTTTATTTCTTTATCTATCTGTAATAGTAGTCAAGTTAAAGGCTTTTGAAACACCAAAAGTAGAATAAGTTCCACTCTCGGTTACCGGAAATCGCTGAAAAGTTGATACAGAACTACAGAATTGATATAAAGCTTGTATATAAAATTTCATCAACCTAGCTGTATCGTGTTCAAAGACACACACACACACAGACAGAATTGCAAAGCCCAGTTTTTCCGACTCGTTACGCATAGAACGCTAACATTTTGATATATATATATATATATATATATATATATATATATATATATATATATATATATATATATATGTGTGTGTGTGTTTGTGTGTATGTGTGTGTGTGTGTTTGTGTGTTTTAATTTATATATTTGTCCATATAATTCTATTATATAAATATTGTATTATCTTTTTTATATATATATATATATATATATATATATATATATATATATATATATATATATATATATATATATATATTAAATTCTAAAAATGTATGATTAAAAACCTGTTTAAGATTATCACTGACGGTTTGGGGTCTGCTGGTCGAGTTGGTAGAGCACGTGGTTGTTAATCCGAAAATCAAAAAACTGCTACCTTGTAGTTTGTTCTTGATTGGATAAAGGCTATGGAAGCTGAAATGGGAGATAATGACCTATAACCAGTTGTGTTAGGGGGGGGGGAATCCAACATTAAAATTAAGAACGAAGAAAAAGAAGAAGAAGAAAATGATAGTTTACTTGCGCTAACGCTGACATTGCGAAGTGGGATGGTATTGGTGGAGAATGGGGGGGGGGGGGAGTGAATTAATATGTCTGCCGTCTCGTACTTTATGAAATAATAACTGGTTCCGCATGACCGACCACACGAGCCAGCTAGATGACACCACGGCAAAAACGAGACGCGACGCGAAACAGACACGACGAGAACAGACGCGACGAGAAACAGACACGACAGTACAACTGTACGAGGCGCAGTCAGGTCGGCGAGAGGGGAAAATTTTAGGCAAGTCGCCAACTGGTATTTTAAGTGGGACGGGCGGGAGTAGGTATAGGTCATGTACCTAGAGTTGATTAACAGGAATACACCTACAACAACGCACACACACACACATAGATATGTATCAGTAGTTATAATGTATTGAGTTTTAATGATTTATATATATTTAGATAGGTATATTTCAAACCTATGTTTGAATATATATATATATATATATATATATATATATATATATATATATATATATATATATATATATATATATATGCATAGATATATAGGGCATATATATATAGGACATACATGTTTGAATTTATATATATATAGAGAGAGAAAGATAGTGCGGTGTGCATTATGCCCAGCCGCCTTCCCTAATGTGAGTTAAGTACCCACCAGAGCTGGGTGGACTCAGGGACTTGAACCCGGATTGGAACTCGAGACTTACGGGTCAGTAATCTCTAACGCTAGGCCACTCCGTCCCATATATATATATATATATATATATATATATATATATATATATATATATATATATATATATATATATATATATATATATATATATATATATATATATATATACGTGTGTGTATAAAATATACATGACCCTATATTTAAGTGTGTGGAAGTA